TGGCGCTAACCCTCTCGGCTCTGGCACTCTCCCGTTTCCCGGGTCACCTCCGCTTCCTGCATTCCTCCCTATTTATTTGGCACTTGGCTTCCCCTCCCGCCTAGCCCCCTTTCGCTGGGGGTTGAGGACTGCGTGGCAAGGCTGACGCTGCTCTCAGAACTCTCCCACCCTGCCCATGCCCGGTGGCCCGGGGACACCGAGGGGGCCGAGCCCCTTCCTCACCAGCCCCTTCCCCTGGGGCAGGGCAGTGCAGAGTGTGGCTCTGAGCTGGCGGATGGGCGCTGATTGGCTCCTGGAAAAGCCAATCAGTGAGCGTATCAGCGGAGCTGCCTGAGGCGGGGCGGGGCCTGGGGCTGGAGGGTGTGGGACGGGGGCCGTGGCGCGTTGGGGCCTCGTCCGGGGGTCCTGCTGTGGCTGCGGGCTTGGCGCCCCTGGCCGCCATCTCCCACGCGTTTCCATCCACCCCTCCCCTCTAGAGCCTTCAGAGCTGAGCCAAACACGAGCCCCTCCCATCCCCTCCCAGAGGATGTTCTGCACTCTGCCTTATTCGTGCATCCAGACCAGAATCCTAAGAATGAGAAAGTCCGACCAGCCCACTGACTGAGGCCGGAAATACACACTTCCTCTTATTTTTAATTGAGAAAAATCCAGGCCGTGACCATGTGACATTCCCCATTTTGTTTCCCTCCTTTCGTTACTACGGTTTACTACGACACTGAGTTCCTTCATCTTCTTGTCTTAAAATCCACGAGCAGGAGGGAGCTGCAGCACGTGGTTGTAGGATTGATTGGGTTGGCTTAAGATTCTCACATTTACATTCCTTCCTAATGGGAGGGAGGAGGAAAAAAAAACAGAGAAGAGAATACATGTTCTGTGACTGGCACTGGGGATCATCGGAAAAACTCATTTGGCTTGACATTGCATTAGGGTCAACACCGTATAGAGTGCCTGCAGTTTGCAAAGCATGGAGCTGGATAAGATCAACACAAACTGACCCTTCTAGACCCGAGGGAGCTCACAGTGAAATGAAAACGTCGGATAGAGCTTGCAAATCGTGAGAATCTAGAGATTCATTACAAGGGCTTGGATAGGTTTCCTTTCTGAGGTTGGAAGAAAAGCTTTTTTTTAAGCTCTCAGAAACAGATCTGTTTTTTGACCAGTGACAGCCCAAGTGAAAGCTCATCAGGGTAGGCTGGGGGAACCGATTTTAAAAGCCTGCTAGATTTGTGTTGTGCTTCTTCATATAACCAAAATTATGTGAGACGCATTACTATGTGGGATGGAAAATTTGTTCAGATTTATCCTTTCTGAAATAAATGTGGGAAATAAGAAAAAGAAATACTGTGGCAGTATTTTCACCTCCTCCAATCCCATCCCTCTCGAATAAACATTTCTCACCATCCAGCATCCCTGAATCATAAGCCCCAAAGGCAGCATTTTTTCCTCAGGTGCCCATTGAAATAAGTAAAAGTGTAAGGAAGAGCCACTGCCCAGTGTAAATCCTATGGCCTAATACTGCTTCTGAGCTGTGGAAAAGAGTTTTTCCGCAGTTCCAAAAAACTTTGAGCATCTAACAAGCTTTTTTAATTTCTGCCATTGTTTAGGTGGCTTTTATATTTAAAAAAACAAATCTGTATAAAAATATTTCATATGTTATAGTCATTTATCTGACTGCCCCCCAAATAAATACTGTCTCCAGAATTGCTGTGCAGTAGGGACTTAGAATTCAAAAGTGCATGCCCCTCCCCGCTTTTTTTGGTTTATCAGAATTCCTGGAAAATAGCTTTATGTTATCTTGACTGATGCAATGGAAAAAGCAACTCCTTGGAGCCAGAGATCTTGTGTTCTAACAGCCAGTGCCCTTCACTAGTCGAGTGACCTTGGGCAAGTCACTTAAGTTCTCTGGACCTTAAGAGAACTTGAGAATGTCGTTCTAAATT